TTAAATGTTGTTGGGTGGACGACTCTTATGAAGTTCACATTTCCCTTGTCCCGCAGAGTTCTTGCCGAAATTACATACGTTGGTTCTCACAAATAATCGGCTGGTTAACTTGGTGGAGATTGATCCTCTTGCATCACTTCCTAAGCTGCAGTTCCTTAGCCTGTTGGATAACAATATTACGAAAAAACCTAATTATAGGTTATATGTGATTCACAAACTCAAATCACTTCGTGTTCTAGATTTCAAGAAAGTGAAGGCTAAGGTGATTGGATATGCTACAAAATTACTTTGTCTTTTTAAACAGTTTTAATCTGTTCTATTATGCATTTTCTGTTTCCTATCATGTTTAGATATGTGAAATTGCTGTGGTTAGTTTCATGTAGGTTCATGAAGTGCCGTTTTTTTTCTGACTGACTGTGAGTTATATTAGCAATGGAACACCGTTAGATTTTAGAATGTTATTTTAGTTAACAGTGTTAGATATTAGAATGGTTTGCCTCCATCATAGGTGTAGTCATGAGTGGGAAAATATATCATAAGTTCCGCTTTTGTGCAAAATAAAAATGATCTTTTTTAACCTAATGCCTTTTTTATTTAAACCTAATGATTTGGTATTGCCATCTTTAACTTATTCCACAAAGAAATACTTTGCTGTAGGATTGAATTATTGATTTGATGTTGGTTAAGCAATTTTTCTGCATCTTTGGGTGGGTGGGGGAAAAGGGGGTGGGGCTAAATGTTCTAATTTTGCATATTTTATATTCCTCATGTAGCTTATCATATGGATTAATTTATCGTAATTATGCTTCATGGGTCACAGGAGAGACTAGAAGCTGAAAACCTCTTTGCATCCAAAGAAGTTGAAGAGGAAATAAAGAAAGAATCTGCAAAGACAGTTGCACCAAAAGAGGTTCCAAATGTTTCGGAAGTTGCAGAGGAAGAAGAGACGCCAAAAGTGGTTGCACCCACACCTGAGCAAATTATAGCTATCAAGGTATTGCCTATTTATTCGTAATGCTACTTAAAAACTTGGATAATAATGTTGATTGTTTTTAGTGTTCAATTGATAATTTTTCTTGATCATCTGAAGGGTTTTAAAATATGAAGGTTTTAGTTATGTCATGTACACCCTTCAATTCCCTTCATAAAATTGAATGTTATACAAACATGGGAGAGAGTACACTACCCCGCTCTTCCCGCTTCCTTTACCCCTTTACTTCTAACCAAACATAGAATCAGGTAATCTTCCTCATTCAAAGCAATTCATGGAAAGCTTCATAGTTAAGGCCTAATTGTTTTTTTCCTTGAGGATTTTTATAACTTTCTTGAGTTTGATTTGTATTACCAAAGATTTGGAGAGGTTTTAAATAGTTGCCAATTTAATTACACAATGTGGGTGACACAAACTCGTGTACTTTTTACTTCTCTTTTCTCTTGTTAGTGGATTGTGTCAGTTTCAGACCCAATCTTGCTCTTAATGGAGGTTGGTGATGGTGACTGCTGATTTGATGCATGAATATTTAAAATTACCTTGTTAATGTACACTGTGAAGTGTGAACATTTCCAGTAATGTATTTTTATCATTCTCTTTAGTTTCTGTTATAATCTAAGAAAATAAATCGAACGAAACAAATGAGACTTCTATACGGCGATTTTGATAGTTTGTATATTATATTTTTGGTCTAAGTCAAAAAGGACAACCAACAGAAGTATTGAACAAGAAGATGCCTAATGAGTTATTAAGAGAAGCACTTCAAGTAGACACCCTCTGATGGTCTATGTGAGCTTAAATATTTTACATATATTTTAAGAATGTGGCTACTGGCATCCACCCTCTTTCGCTAACCCATCTAACCAGCAACATTAATAGGAAGGAAACATACATGTCCAGTAAGAATGCATCTAAATGAGGGTACTTTTTGGAATGGTTGAGCAACCCTCTGACATTAGTAAATTTTGGCTCTCGGGTTTAAAATGCAAAAGCAGTATTTATCAATTTGCAAAATTATTTTCCTTGTGCACTACCTTTTAACTTGCTAAAGCTTGCATTTTTATTTTCTTCGTTGCTTAAACTGCATAAATGGGTATTGGTAACTTATGTCATATTTGTAAATGACTTGTGCATCTTTTGTAGTGCATCCTTATGGCTAAAGTCTGATCTTGTTTATATTTATTTGACATGCAGGCTGCCATTGTGAATTCTCAGACGTTGGAAGAGGTTGCAAGACTTGAAAAGGTGGTTGCTTAACAATTGCACGAGTGGCTTTTAAAGATAACTGTCGTTTAGATTTTTTTTATTAATTTTAACTTTTACATTCTGGATGTTTCTTTGGTTGAGCAGGCATTAAAGACAGGTCTGCTTCCTGCAGATTTGAACATTCCTGGTTTTGATACCAATGTTGCTAAAGGGGGAGATGAAAAGGGGGATTCTGATAATCAGAATGAGGCCAATGCTGAACCGGATAAGATGGATGAAGAAAAGAATGAAGAAGCTGCACCCATGGAACAAGTATGTTGATATATATAATTTTTTTTTGAGGATTCTGAATTGTCTATGTTCTCATATTAGATTTTTATAGGACAATATTAATATATATATATTATTATTTCTGTTCATGTTCTATTTTTGGATTTTGGCCAATCTGGTAATTGGTCATATTGTTTATTTCAGGAATAGGGGTTGTGGATTGGTGGATTCAATAGCAGCCAATCACTAGCCGAACTCTTGAATGATTGGTCTGCAGCAAAGGAAGGGGTTATGGATTTTCTGTAGTATTAAGGATTTTGGTTAGCACTGAGGTATATTTTATTTGGATATTGAGTTTGGATGCTCTTTTCCTGTGCTAATGGATGGTTTTGAGATTAACATCTCACGTTCCAAAATAACAAATTTACAAGGAAATAGAAGAAATCAATGAAAACTGATGAATTTGGTCATATCCTCAAATAAACAAGGTTTAGAATTTAAATTGATATATGCTGTTAAAGAGTGCCCAAATACGTATGAAAAAGTAATGCATCGATATCAGATGATTTTGTAACTAAGGAATAGCAAGATAAGTAGAGAAGAAAAGGTAACGCCTGAATCCCGGCGGTGGGAAAGGAGCTTCACGGTCTCTTAGCACGATATAATTTTGTGCCACCACAGCTTTTCAAGTGTAGCATTAGACCCTTTTAGCACCATTTTAGAGCCGATTCATGATGTATCAAACCACATTTCCACACATGTAAGTCGCTAATCGAAAAGCAACACCTAATTAAATCATTTGAATTATGAATTTCAATCAATTAAGTCATTTTCTTTTGTCAAATCCCCTAATAGTTCGTTAAGTGATGATGGGGCAACTAGCATCATTCATCATCTTCCAATTCATAAAACACCCAATTAAGCCTTCATACGTCATTATTTTTCACGTTAGTTGCCACATCACCGTTCGCGACATCACCTATCAGATTGTTAGAGGTTGTTAGAGGTATCAACAGAAGAACTCAATTGATTGCAATTCATAATTCGAAGGGCTTAATTGATATTTTTTTATTAGGAGCTTACTTTATTTATTTTATTATTTATCGGAAGTTTTTTTTTACTAATGAAGCCTAAAATTACTTTTTTTTAATAAAAATAAGTTCAAATAATTAATTTAAAAATTATCAAGAAAGATTTTTAACAAGGAATTTGATGCTAATGGTAATAAAAACAATTATTACTTTTTTTAATAAAAAAATACTTGAATAATTAATTTTAAGAATTATCAAGCTCTTATATGTCATTCAATATTTACAATTTTAGAGTTGGTGGTTATATAATAATAATATAACAATAGTAATCACTATAATATTAATATTATATTAAAATTTAAAATACTGATGTAAACTTTTATACTATGATAAAAGTAAATACATGATATTTACTTATGTAACTTTTTAAAACTATTGTTTAATAATAATATGTTACATATAAAATATCTATTATATTTTTTTGCTACAATAAAGTTTTTATTAGATATCATAACATAAATAATTTTATAAATTTAATATGACTGCTTTAATTTAATATTGATAGTTTAAATTGAAAGAAAATATATTATAAAGATAATATGATAAAATTTATATCTAGATAATTTTATGTTCCTCTATTTAAATAATACAGTGTAACATTCTCAATTATATTTCAAATAATGTTACATTGATTATAAATAATTTTATATTCCGTAAAGTACAGAAATGATTTGAAAAAAACATTTTATTAATTGTTGTTTTAATTGAAATTCAACTTTAGTAGCTAATTAATATATCTTCAAAAAAGGGTCAAAATTTTGAGAAGGAAATGTCACCATCACCGTGACTAATGTAATGTGGTGAAAATTTTTGAGAGAGAGAGAGAGAAAAGGGTTTGAAATTATAGATCTGACCCCATACCATTTACTACCCCTTTGCCTTGGTTAATTGTGAGGACCCAAAAAAATCCTTCAAAATCTCCATTTTGGCCATACACATATGGGACAATGGTTTGGGTTGCCCTATGAATCAAGTAAAGTAAAGCCTATATACTAAAATAATAAAGGATGAACCCGTGATTTTGTATTAAGAAAAAATTATAAAATTTAGAAGTTAAAAAATAGATTATTAATAGAAAATAAAAAGAAAACATTTAAAACATAGAAAATTTAGCATGAGCCAAACTATCTCGGTGGTTAAAATATTATTGTTATCTCTTAAGATCATGAGTTCAAATATAATGTATGCAGGAGAATATGAGCGTTCATTGTAAAATAATAGTGAGTCTCTAAACAAATATTATTTTATATTCATTCTAAATTAATAAAAATTATATATATAAAATTTTAAAAAATTTTGGTCCATTCTTGGAAGAAATGGTAGTAAACTAGGGTTTTTAAATTCCTCAGTGCAATGTTACTTTGCTGTTATTTGGTATATTCATTCTCTGCCCATCTCTTCATTTACAAGCACAAGCTTCCTTCTTCTCTCTCACTCTTACACTTAATTTCAGTATATTGTATACCCAATGGGGAGATCACCTTGCTGTGACAAAGTGGGGTTGAAGAAAGGACCATGGACACCAGAAGAAGATCAGAAGCTCTTAGCATACATTGAAGAACATGGCCATGGAAGCTGGCGTGCCTTGCCTGCCAAAGCTGGTCACTGAACTAATAAACCCTACTTCTTATACTTTTCGTGGTTACTAATAGTAGTAGTAAAAGGCTACTTCGTTCTCAAATTTTGCTTCTTTTTTACTTGTTTGTTTTAGGTCTTCAACGATGTGGGAAGAGCTGTAGGCTTAGATGGACTAATTATCTCAGGCCTGATATCAAGAGAGGAAAGTTTAGTCTCCAAGAAGAACAAACCATCATTCAGCTCCATGCCCTTTTAGGGAACAGGTCCAAAAATCATCAACACCGACAGTTTTGTCTGTTTCTCAAATTAAGTTGATAATCCTCTTGCATTCAGTTGAAACCTTATGACCTAAACTTTCCTTTCATTTTCTTGTCCATGTGATCCATGGTTTTGTTTATCTGTTAGATGACTGAAACATGGAAGAAACTGGTGTTTGGGAAGTTGATGTTCTCTAGGTTTTGTGTTTCAGGTGGTCTGCTATAGCGACTCACTTGCCAAAGAGAACAGATAACGAGATAAAGAACTACTGGAACACTCATCTTAAGAAGAGGCTAGCCAAAATGGGGATCGATCCCATCACTCACAAGCCCAAATCCGATGCTTTACTCTCCGGTACCGATGCTAATCAATCCAAGAATGCAGCGAACCTTAGCCATATGGCTCAGTGGGAAAGTGCTAGGCTTGAAGCCGAAGCTCGATTGGTTCGAGAATCAAAGCTACGTTCGTTTCAAAACCTCCTCACTCGTCCAACAACAACAGCCTTTCCTTCTTCAGTTTCGGCTGCTCAGCCTGTGAATAAGACGGCTTGGAATAGTATTAACAATGCTGGATTCGGTGACCTCGAGTCACCTAAATCAACACTGACTTCCTCGGAAAATGGGATCGGACCGAGTACGATGCCGATGAACGAGTTTACCTGCACCGCATCGGCTTCATCCGAGACCGGAATCATAAAACAAGAAGGTGAACAAGAATGGAAAGGAACTAATTTGGCCATGGACAACATTAATTCTCTATCCTTCACTTCAACAAGCATCCATGATGATATCGGAAACACAATGGAAGATGGGTTCATTAACCTTCTTCTCAACGATTCCACCGACCCCAGTTTATCAGATAGTGGCAAAGAATCCGATGGAAGCAGTGGAGGAAGCGATGATCACTGTGAAGACAACAACAATAACTATTGGAACAGCATCCTTGATTTGGTGAATTCTTCCCCATCAGATTCACCAATGTTCTAAACAAATTAATGCTTCTTTGGCCTTCGTCAAAACAGCCCATCAAATCTCAAAAACTATACAAAAATGCCATCAGATGACAATGCTTTTGCCCAAAAGTAACAGCTAGCGTTGAGGAGACCTCACATCACTTCTTCAAAAACATGAAAATGTACACTGAGCTACCATTAAAAGTTGATAGGGTTTTAACATGTGTTTGAGTTCCACTTCAATGATGCTTTCAGTTGAACTTTTAATATTATTATTTCATTTCAATGTTGCAGCAAATAATCAAATGGCATCATTATTTTACCTCAAAATCCATTTCCTTTGTATTAATTTAGACTTTTTTAAATATATATATAGACACTAGACAAAATCAATAAATAAAGAGATGTATTTCTGATCGACTTTATTGCGAGTTGTTTCAAGTCACATCATAACATTAAATAGAAGTAATTACTGAGTTTACTCATCAAAACTGGGTTGCACTTCCAGTTTTACTTTCATTCTTTTCTTCTTTACAACTTTATATTATTTACGTGCGCGTTATAATTGTATTAAGAGCATTACACGATGTAGGCATTAAGATCGTACTGGGAATTTAGTAATGATGCGAACATTTGGGGATTTCAGTGGTGAAAAAAGTGGCAGGACTAATTTATTATTACTATCATGTGGGAACATCATTCAACCCATCATTTATTATTAACAAGGGAGGTGATTAGTATATAAATATGATTTAGGATGAAATTAAAATGTTCACAAAATTTGGAAATCAATTTAAAATGAAGATAATATTTTAGGGATAGAACTTAAGTATTTAAAAATTTGAGGACTAATTTAGAATACTAGTAATAGTCTAAGGATGAAATTACAATATTTAAAAGTTTAGGAATTAATTTAGAATAAAAATAATTTTTAAAGATATGTGATACGATTAATTCTTTTAAAAAATAATAATAATTATCTATACGCTAATGGTCGAGTGTTTTCCATATTTATTCTATGAGTTAATTATACATTTTTAATGATTTTTTTATAAAAAAAACCATAACAATTGTTTAATTTCTCTTGTAAAATATGAAAATTTACTGTAGCGCATCAAATGTCTATCCTAGATTATTTTTAAAAGATTTCATATGTTTATCTTCGTACAAATAAGATCGACTTTTCTATTAATCATTATACTATATGCGAATTGTAAATTTAATCTATATATTTAATTTGATCATTTTTTAATTTTCATATTTTTTAATTTTAAATGTTAGTTTGACATAAACATTACTTATTAAATCAAAAAAAATTATTTGTCTAAATTTTATCTATGTATTATATATTTAATTTATGTTATTTAATTATATTTTTATGCAATTTTTATTTTTTATTAAAATAAGATGAAATATTTAAAATTATAATGAAGATTTATATTCATAAATATAAATTGAACGCATAATTAAGACATTTTCCTAAAATCATTAACACAAGAAACTAGCCACTTGAATACAAGGAAAAGATAAAAAATCTATAAAAAAATCTTAAACAAAAGATAAATATGAACAGATCTGATTGTATTAGTAAACTAACCACAATAGGCGACCAAACTACCAAAAAATCATCAACAATTATTATAAACGAATCACAACAGGAGATAAAACTATTAAAAAGTCATCGATAATCACAAATCAGAGTTGAGAATCATGAGAAAATTATTTCTGAACACAAACCACATATTCAAATCCAACCTGAGAGTACAAAACAGAGAAAATAAAAAATATAACAAATAAGCGTTTTATTGATTAGTCTAAGTGACGTCAAATCCAAAACTAAAAAAATTAAATGAAAAGAACGACCAATGATCGATAAAGAAGGCCGAAAACGTGTCAAAAGATAGAAAAAATATCATAAAGGCAAAAAAAATCATAAAATCATAATTATTAAAAATTAAAAAGACAAAGACAAGTAAACATACATAAAAATAAAAAAATAAAGAATATCAGAAATCAGCTATCAACACTAAAATCTGTGTGATCTCTAACCAATCTAAGATTGGAAAAAGGAGCACAAACTACACATTGAGAGAACTAGGACAAGCAAATGTTCTTTAATTATATCTTATTAAATTATTCGTACCATTAGTATTCAATAATAACAACCATAAATGGTTACCACCACCTTTTAAATCTGAAATGATTATAAAATATTATTTGTTCAAAATATTTCTAAGTTATTGTCAACACAAGTAGTTCTTCAAACTCAGAACTTCTAAGAAGAACAACATTCACTTTTAACCACTAAGATCACTCAATAAGTTTTACTTATACAGAGCAAAATACTTCTTTTAACTATGAAGATCACTAAATAAGTTCTTTATATATCTTCATGAGTAGAAAGAATTGATCGAATTATAAATAAAATAAAAAAATATTTCAAATTTTCTATTAGTATCAAACTCAAATTTAGTTTTTGAACCATCTTTTATCCTTCACCTCAAAAAAAGGTGCGAGGGAATTAATAACAAAGTTTGGTTTTTTAAAAAATGTCCCACACATCATTGCATATACCATCAAGCTAGGCAAGGATGACGAGTGACATCGGTGCCCCAGTTAGGCTCTTCTCAGCTTTTTGGGTAACTAAGTGATGGAATATTCTCTAATTTTAAATGCCACATAATTAAATTATAAATTTATAATATAAAAAATAATTAAAATACACATATGGATTATTATTCACTTGCACAATATACATTTTTTTAATTATACATAAATTTAGGATCATTTGTTGAGAAAAAAAATACACTTATATATAGATGCAACTATGTTTATAGTATATTTTGTCTAAAACTTTGAATACAAAATTTTATCTAATATAAATATTTGGAAAAAATATAACAATAAACTTATTTTAAATCGATTGATGGACCATTCTAAAAATTAGATATTTTAAGTTGTAACATTTTGATGGGATCAAATCAATTTTCATGGAAGTGCAGTGACAATGATCATACATGTGGTGGATCAGTGATTCATTCATGATGCAAATATATCAATTAATTGAGGCCTGAAGGGGACCATATAATTTACATATTTGTTCTTATTACAACCTCAGATCTTCTGCTGCAGCCAGCTTGTTAGCTGATTTTGATATTCAAAATAATTTTATTCTATGAGATTATAGAATAAATGATGTATCAAATAAATATCAATCCCACTTCTGTTCTTCAATATGCAAGAGATCAAAACTCATGAAACATTGAGCATGTGAGTTATTATTATTGTAATCATTGTGTTATACTCTATGGATTTGGGAATGAATATTGGTTAAGTTGGTGAGGCAAGAATATCATTGAGTTTGGAAATAGAGACGCATACATAAATTTATGTCAAGACGATATGAATTTAAGAAATTATTTTAAAATTTAAGAAATATAAAAAATATAAATTATACGAGAATTTAAAATTTTCAAGACTTATTTTACTATTGCACATTTACATGATTTAACATGAACTTAATGGAGTGCATTCTCAGCTTGTTTTTTGTGCTGGGAGGTCAAGATATTGAATGAACACGATGAGCTTATGGAATATCATTTTTCTTTTTGGGGAAATTAATAATTTAAAAGTATAATGTTTGGTTGATTTATAATAATTGGTGAATGTCAATTGACCTGGAAAGCTTTGACAACAATGTAATCTGGAGCATGATTTATTTTGAGAAAACCAAGTAGCTTTCAAGATAATGAAAAAGATAAGGATTTTTGTATTGAAAAATCTTTGTGTTTTGCAAGCAAAACTTTGATGACAAAGATTAATGTTTTAGATGTATACAACCTCATGTCAATTTATATTAAATTGATGTTAGATTGAGTGTGATAATTCTATTGTTTGTATCATAATCGTATTTAATTTATTATATTTAAATTTCGGCATGTTCATATTTTATTTTATATAAATTTTAATACATTTGTACATGTAAGGTTAAGATATAGGTACACAGTGTAATTTTTTTTAGTTTTATATAGATTTATGATCTTTAGATGAGGAAAAAATGCAACTTATATATAGATGCAACAATGGCAGTCCCTTGTTTTTTTTTCAGAGTAAATTTTCTCATTTCGTACTGTTAATCATAGTCTTTTATTTTTATTCATTCAACGATCCTAATTTAATATAAAACTTAAAGAATTTTACATTATGTAATGGGATAATGCCAAAATTAGCCCCCCCAACGTTTACTAAGATGATCATTTTGCCCCTAGTCTATTTTTTGGAGCATTTTGGTCTCGACATTTCATTTTAGGGCAAAAAACTCTTAACATTTGACAGAATAATCAATTTTTCCCTTATTTTTTTCTAGGGCATTTAGCCCTCAACATTTCATTTTAAGTTAAAAAAAGCGTTAATCGTGTGTTAACTAATGATTTTCGTCTATAAGAAGTTTTTTACCCCAAAATGAAACGTTGGGGCCAAATACCCCAAAAAATAATAGTCAAATAACCATTTTAATAAACATTACAGGCTATTTTTTATATTATATCTTATATAATTATATCTTTATCTTATATACACACACACACGATGTTTTGATAGATAGAGCACATGGAACATAGCAGGAGATGTCATCTCTCTGGTGAAAATTCACCATCGAGAAACCTAATAATATTTATAATATAGAAGAAATAATAGAATTAACCGTTATTTTCCCATTAAATGAAAGCATGATAGATCCAGGCTGTGATGAAAAGTCTTGGGAAACTGTGGCCACACCTTCAATTCTCAAAAACTCCTTTTTTTCATTGTTAAATATTATTAACTTTATCAATTTTATATATGACAGCATAAAATTAAAGTTGATATATAATTTTAAAGTTAATTCAAAATAAAAATCAAATATCTTACAAATTTGGAAAAAAGAAAAGACTAAATGGTTTATTTGAGCGTAATATTCTTTTACTATATTTAGGGTGTAATTTTTTTTTAAATTATATTTCCATCTTCTCATAATTTTATTTATTTATTTATTTATCTCTAAAATTGCTGCACATGTACATTTAATTCAGTGTATAATGTCGCTCACATGGGTCTGAAAATCATGAATAAAAAAAGGAGCTGGACAAATTGGAAATTGATTGCATATAACATACGTAAAATTAGAATGCATGTTAAACTTGTCAGGTTAAATTAGATTAATTCGATATTCGACCGATTTTAATATTTTTTAAGTAAGAGTATTTATTAATTGATATAATTT